TATAAGAATTGGCATATATAATTATAAATATTGTTGTTTATGTTTCTGATTTTAATGCGACAGCATGCATACCTTATAATGAAAAATTATCTTACATGTAAAAATATACACCAAAATCAATAATTTAATTGAATCGGCCGAAAAATCATTCAGCAAATTTTTATCAGGTGTCCCGGAATTTATAAAAACAGCTGTAAGCACAAAATATATTATCATTATATGGTGTATTAAAATTATATTTTCGAGGTTTTGATTAGTAGAATACAGATTTTCGCTTTGACAAAAAGTAAAAAAAATATGAATAACCATTAACCGGGTTAACCGGTTAAGTATAACTTCGGGTTAGACTTTAAAATCACAGGTCACGGGTTGGCGGATAAGCGGGTCGAATTTTTACCTTAATTGACATTTGTTACATATTGAGTTTGCAAGTTGATTTATCAATGAAATGAAAAGTCATAAAGTTCCAAAACAGTATTTTAATGACTGGTGCCTTTTCATACCTGGCTTCTTGATCCGAAGTTAAATATTCAAATTAAATGCCTGATAACTTTTGCAGAACATTTCTATGAGCCGCTAATGCAATTTGTAACTGATCAGGATCCAGTTTTACGAATTTATCAACATGGACAACTAACTAAATTACCTCCCGGCAAACGTGCCTACAAAATGGTTGATAAAGTTTATGAATGGCATAAGTTTCTTAAGGATGTTGCTATGAATTTTGAAATGTTTTTCGCTAATGAATTGTTAGAAGCTTTGGAATCTTTATCTAATGAGGAATTCGGAACATTTTTTAATGATTTAGAGCTAGAGATTAATAAAGCATTAGAATATTTTGAGAAATGGTTCTTATCTTGGCTTCATTTGCCACTAGTTGTCTGTCGTTTAGGTGGTAACAATGCTCAATCTTTTGCTTCTAGCTTCTACTATGTGGTTTTAAAAAAACCGTGGATTAAGTTACCAACAAACTTAGAATTACAATTTGTGGCAGAGCTTGAAAATGATCTAAATAATGGAATAACTGATGACTTGGGCCTACGAGAGTTATTGTTACAAAATGAAAACTTCTTTAGAGAATTTGAGCAATTCTGCGCTGATGATAAACCATTAATATACAATTATCCATATTTATATAACTTTGTCAAGACCCGAATATATTTCATAATTATTCATCAACAACAAGTAGAGGGCCTTTTCAACAAATTAGATTTGAAAACCCACCCAAACATGTCATTGCCAGTTAAGCAGTCTAAGCTTCATTTGTCTTCGATCAACATTGATAAAAAAAATTTATCGAAAGAACTAAAAGAGATACGAAAAAACCGAAAAAATTTTCCATTACAAGAAATTAATACACCACAATTTGGATCCAATATTGCCTCAGATCTTTTTAAAGACTTATTATGCTAGTATTAAATCTTTTAAATATGTGGGCTGTTATTAACAATCTAAAATAATTAAAGCATTTTTTATTTTTATTATTATAATTAATAATAATGATAATAAACATATTTGCCGTACTGTTGGATCTATGCTGTTACACAAAAAAATTCGATAATAAATTTTTATATGATACTACATATAGTTTTGATTTAAATAGTATATCGCCAACCTCAATGCTACGTCCAGTTTTAACTACTGTGTTACGTCCAGAATCTAAACAACAATGCTACGTCTTTTTAACAACCATGTTATGTCTAGTTCTAACAACCGTGCTATGTCTAGCTCTAACAATCATGCTGTGTCCAATTCTTATTACCGTACTACGTCCAGTTCTAAGTACGTACCGTGCTAACCAACGTGCTATGTTTATTCTGGCTACCGTGCTACATTCCTTCTAATTACCATTCTAATGTTCGTTATGACTACCTGTGCTACATTTTAGTGCTACGTTTGTTGTGTTAAAATTTTTTTTTAAAAAAATAAATAAAACGACGCATCATATGACGTACCTTCGTTACATAATTTCCAGCTTCAGCTGCGACAATAATTATACTTATATTGTTACTGGGAGGGACAACTGAATCGAATGATTCTGATTACATTCTTAAGATCGTAATTTTCCTAATTCGTTAAGATCTAGATACATGAAAGTAAAAAAGATTTATTACATAACAAATTCCTCATTTGAAATCAGTGGACTTTTAAGCGAAACTGGAACGTCCAAATGCAGGAGACCACACTCCTATTGCTATGTCAGTGCAATCATTGGCTCGTGATGGCAACAAAAGCCTGGCAAAGCGCATTCAATTCAGCTATTTGTGGGTACCTCCCGTTGGCTCGTGATGGCAACGATGAGCACAAAAGCCTAGCAAAAGCCCCATCCCAGCAACATTTGATTTAAAAATAGGTGCCATATCAAAAATAGTACCAGGGCATTATGTTTGCGGAGCCTATTCAAAAAAAAAAAAATCCAAAAA